CCTAGGGTCATGGTTGGACAGATGAAAACATTTAATGTGAAAATGACTTAATGTAGCATAAAGTGTAATAAACTGCCTAAATCTCAATCAATTGACTTGCCCAAGTTCTCAACATCCCAAACATTTCCTAGAAGTTTCATAGATTTTGTCCTGCCACAAAGAAAATGGGGGACATTAAGCTTGTTTTTTGGGGAGCTTAATGTGGCTTAACGTACAAAAAAGAGCTTAGATGTTAACCAATTTCCCCCAAACGTCACTCAATAGAACTCTCTATCTATGGCAACATATTCTGAAAATTTCAGATCATTTAGTAAATCACACCAAAAGTTATTCACGTTAAAGTGATACTAAAGGCTCAGGGGGTTTTTTGCATTAAAATAACAGACAGGCTGCTCTGTGCATTTGGATTTGCACAGAGCAGCCCAGATCCTCCTCTTCTTGAGTCCCTCTTCTGTGCTCCTGGCCCCTCCCTCTTTTCAGTGCCCCCACAGCAAGCAGCTTGCTATGGGAGCACCAGAGCTGTGTCACAGCTCCGTATGTCCATTCAGACACAGAGCCCTGACTAAGCCCCACCCCCTCTCTCCTCTGATTGGCTAGCTGACTTTGATTGACAGCAATGGGAGCCCATGGCACCACTGCTTTGTCTCAGCCACTCAGGAAGGAGAATCTCGGGAGGCTGAGAAAGTCATGGTGATTGCTGGAGAGAGAGGGAGCTAAGGTAAGTGTTAGGGGGGCTCAGGGGGGCTGCTGCATAGAGAAGGCTTTTTATCTTAATGCATAGAATACATTAAGATAAAAAACCTTCTACCTTTACAACCACATTAAGCTATATTTTACAATGCTAAAACATTTAATGTAAACAGCTTAATGTAAAAAGAGCTTAACGTACCATAATGTGCCTAAATCTCAGTCAATGGACTTGAAACGTTGCACAGCCCAAGTTCTCAACTTCCCAAACATGTCCTAGAAGTTTCATGAGTTTTGATCTCCCACAAAGCAAGTGAGTGACCTTAATCTTGTGTAGTCCCTACCACCTTGTGTAGAGGCCATAGCGTAGGACAGCCAATGGGGGAATATTATGAGCGTGTGTGTTTGTGGCTCACCGGCCTATCACTGGGGGTTTCTTGACTTGTGGTGCATGCTTAGGAAGTGCATACTTCCAAGTTCCAAATACCAGTCAATATTGATACAAAACCTTCAGGCTTCTGCTAGAAAGCTGCACATGAAGAGGAACTTCATCTTTCAGCATGACAACGACCCAAAGCATACATCCATATCAACAAAGGAATGGCTGCACCAGAAGAAGATGAAAGTTGTGGAATGGCCCAGCCAGAGCCCAGACCTGAATCTGATCGAAAATCTGTGAGGTGATCTGAAGAGGGCTGTGCACAGGAGATGCCCTCGCAATCTGACAGATTTGATGAGTTTTTGCAAAGAAGAGTGGGCAAATATTGCAAAGTCAAGATGTGTCATGCTGATAGACTCATATCCAAAAAGTCTGAGTGCTGGAGGTGTGCACACTTATGCAACCATATTATTTTAGTTTTTAATTTTTACTTCCCTCCACCGAAAAGATTTCAGTATGTTTTTCAACTGAGTTGTACAGTTTATAGGTCACATTAAAGGTGGAAATTTTTCTGAAATTATTTTTCTTTGTCTCATTTTCTTACATCACAGAAACCTAACTTTTTTAACAGTGGTATGTCAACTTTTTATATCCACTGTATATATTCATGAGAATTGCTAGGTGCTCAATCTTAGTACAGTCTACCTCCAGGCCAAAATCTCTGAAACTTCTAGGACATGTTTGGGGTGTTGAGAACTTGGGCTGTGCACAGTTTCAAGTCAATTGATTGAGATTTAGGCACATTATGGTACGTTAAGCTCTTTTTACATTAAGCTCTTCACATTAAATGTTTTTGCACTGAAAAATATAGCTTAATGTGAATAACTTTTGGTGTGATTTACCAAATGATCTGAAATTTTCAGAATATGTTGCCATAGATAGAGTCTTCTATTGTGTGACGTTTGGGGGAAATTGGTAAACATCTAAGCTCTTTTTTGTACATTGAGCCACATTAAGCTCCCCAAAAACAAGCTTAATGTCCCCCATTTTCTTTGTGGCAGGCCAAAATCTCTGAAACTTCTAGGACATGTTTGGGGTGTTGAGAACTTGGGCTGTGCAAAGTCAATTGACTGAGATTTAGGCAGTTTATTACACGTTATGCTACATTAAGTCATTTACACATTAAATGTTTTAGTCTGTCCCAGTCATGGTGCCATATTATCACCTGTTACCCACCTGAAAACTCCTAAATGACTGGCAGAAGTCTGATGCAGTCTTCTCCTGGACACACCCGCCAAACTGTGTGTAGGCAGGTGCAGTTAGCCTTCCCACCTGTATGTTGCTTCATGCCATTATTACATGGGAAGGGGAGTCTGGGAAGGGAATTGCTCTCTTAGTAATTCCATACAGTGCCTTGAGAGAGAAAAGTAGTCTGAGTGGACACTGATCTCTTGGGAGACATTGGTGGTTATCTTGGGTGAGGGAACCTTTTATTGAGTGTTCCGTCAGGGACAGGAACCTGCTTGTGGGGGAGAGTACTTAGCGTAGGGGGAGGTTCCTGTGGAGAAGGGATAGATCAGAGTCGGTACAGAGAAGTGGAGCCGGTGCAAGCTACAGAATTATCCTGAATATATTCCATAAAGGAACGCTTCTCCTGCTAATTGAAGCCGTCTTTTGGTAATCTGGTTAATACTGAGACTGTACTAAACTGCATTGTTGTACATACAGTTTCTATACTAAAGGCCGCTTTATCTTTTATTCAATACATTTGCCAAAGACATATAAAAAAGATACTGGTGTATTATAGTGTTGGAGAGTGATTACTCCCAAGCAAGGTATCTAAATTAGATTCCACCTACTTGTTGAAGGTCTTGTAGTGATTTTAAAAACTCTCCAAGGACATTTTGCTTATTCAAAGAGAAACACTTTCCTCTCTTGTATGGAGTTAAATAGGTATTCATGCACAAACCATGTCATAGTGACGTTTACAATTTCAGATGATTGTGTGTGTATCTGCATATTAAAATCATAGCAGAACACAACAGTTGAATAAAAAAATGATTTATCAATGTATGTGGAAGTTTACCTCCATATGGCCAAGTAGACTGCTCAAAGCGATCCCTTCTTCACAGTAACGTCCCTCTACCCTAATTAAGGCAGGTCTAATTATTTATGAAAGTAAACCAGTCATAAGTCTGGGAAAAGTAAACTGAACATATGCTTAAAAAATGAATAATCAGAGCTCATCTTCAGTGAAAACATCAAGTCAAACAATCAGTAGATCCAGAGATATAGACAGATTAAAGTGACTGTATAGTTACATTATTTTTTAAATTTAAATAATAAACAATGGCGTTAAACATCTTCTTCTGGGGTTCCCCAGACAGCTGTCCACTTCTCCTCTTGAGTGCCCCAAAAGCAAGCTGCTTGCTATGGGGGCACTTGCATGGATGTACTTCCGAGGCTGAATGCATGGCTTGGCCCCACCCCCTCCTCACAGGATTTGACTGATAGCAGCAGGATCCAATGGCTCCAGATGCTCTCAGTAAAGCTTGTGAATGCAGGAAGAGAGCAGAGCAGGGCTGCTGGTTGGGACAATGCTAGATTGAGAGTGGTGTCAGGTAAGTGTTTATGGAGGGGGGGCACAGACATGGAAGGTTTTTTACCTTAATGCAGAGAATACATTACAAGTAAAAAAAACCTTCTGCCTTTAGAACCACTTTAAGGCCCCATGTACATGGCACACTTATGAACGATGGAAACTGACTGCTGGAAAACATAGGTAAAAAACATCTGTTTAGCCGTGTTTGCATAACGTGTTTATGTGCGTTTATGTGTGTTTGCGTTTAGAAGCGTTTTTTAAAGATAAGCACAGGAGAACTTCCCAAATGCCCAGAATGCATTGAAAAGTGGCAAATTATTAACTATTTCAGACTGTTTCAGAGGAATACAGAGAGTAGAAGCAGAGACAGCAGTATGTGTTGAAATTAGCTTAGGTGTGAGTTGTGTCTATCTGAGTACCTTGAAAACGCTTTGCATGCATTTTTCATGATGAAAAAAGGCTCTGGACAGCATCGGGAACTAGAAGAGTTAAAAAGAATGTTCAGACGCAAACGCTTATAAATTAGATTTTCCACGTTTAGCCATGTTTTGCGCTTGAAACACTGATAAAATTGACTGCTGAACGCAAGTTTTCTGCTTTAAAAAAAAACTGTAAACTCAAATGCCTGTAAACAAATGTAAACAAAGATGTGTACATGGACACATAGGAAAACATTAGGGTGAGTTCAGGGGCTGATGAAAAAAATGCTGAACAGCTCCTAAACGTGAGTTTATCAGCTGCAGTGTACATGAGCCCTAAAATGGAGCTTCACCCAAAAGAGGAGGTTCCGCTTTAAGTCCTTCTCCCCCCCCCCCCCCCCCCCACAACCTAATTTGGCATGTCATTTTTTTTTGGGGGGGTGAAGGTGAGCAGATACCTTGTCTTGAAAGCTAACCGCTCCCACTGCCTAGGTGACCCAAGCGGAATTTCTCCTCTTCCCCTCCATCTCTGCAGTCTTCTGGGACATGTCACAGGTTCCAGAAGACTGCGGGACCATTCACAAAGCACAGTGCGAAGCTGCAAGCAGCACAGCTGACTGCCACAGTTACGATTCCATATGTGAGCAGCTACAGGATTTGTTTTTCTTTACAGGGTGGAGAACTGCTTTAAGTTATATGAAAATCCCAACATATTGAAGTGGAAGAGTTAAGTTTGAATGTCTTTAAAGGTTCAGTATAAAAGCCAAGTGCAGTCTTACATTTCTGCTGTATTGTTGATAGAATGGTACACTTGTGACCTATAGATACACCTTTACACATAGTTGCCTGAGTTAGTTATTGAATGAGGAAATCGATTGCAGCTACAGCTTTATTCTTATTTCTTTTTGTTTAGGTCTCTCTCTGGTCTCTGCTGGTTACTCTGCTTCTCTTGTTCATCCTTACTGGAGCCATGTTGGGCCCGGAACTACTGGCTACAATTCCACCCGCTGTGTATATCGTGGCAGTGATTATGCCTTTGATAGGCTATGCCATGGGATATGGCTTAGCCACTTTATTCAATCTGCCTCCTAATTGTAGGAGAACTGTGTCTCTGGAGACCGGCTGTCAGAATGTCCAGCTGTGCACAGCCCTCCTAAAACTGGCCTTCCCTGCTCATCTAATAGGCAGTATGTACATGTTCCCATTACTGTACGCTCTATTCCAAGCTGCAGAGGCTGGTATTTATGTCTTGGTCTACAAACTCTATAGGAAGGATGTTCTCCATAAACCTGAGCCATCTGAAGATGAAGACACAGATATCTCATATAAAAAAACTGAAAGAGGAAGAGATCCCTGAAATATCTTATGGAACAGTCAACAGTGAAGAGCAAAATTCTATGCCATACCAGCCCACACTGGAACTGCATTAATTCAATGTAAATGTGTACATAAGTGTCAGATACGTTTACATTACAGTGCTTAGTTGGCAGAAGTTAGATTTTATTCTCCGGATCTCTTAAACTAGAGTGTGAACGCACAACATACTATATTCAGTACAAATGGTCATAATGCATTGCATCTCACCTTTGTTGCATTTCATATTTGCACATATAAAGACCTGGAGACAGGTCTAATGTATAGTAAGTTATACAATTCTGAATGAATAGGGATGCCGAAAGGAAAAAAATATATTTTAAAGGTTGCACTCACCCAGATTTGATATTTCAGTATTGCCGAATTGTTGAATGCAGGTTGGTAAATTACTGGCTTCTTTAAAAAAGCTGAACTTGATTTTTCTGCTCCACCCCCTTATCTTAATTTTACCGCTCCATGACCATTAGAAAGAAGAAACAGCACCCCTCTTCTTTGCTTTAAGGCAGACAGTTAAATGGTGGATAGAAATCCAACAGACTGGAATTCAATGCAATTGAACCATAAGAACAGAATCATAATGTTATACCCTGTAAAAGATAAATCTTTAAAACACAACACCTTTCATATAACATATCTAGGCACACAAAGCAACTTTGCAAACATAGCTTTTGCCATTTCTTTCCCAGCAAACCCAGATCTAGGCCATTGTAAACATTGCGCTGGTTACATTCAGCTTGTCTGTGGTCTGTAGAGATCAGCTGGGGGGCGTATTTACTAAAACTGAAAAGTGCAAAATCTGGTGCAACTCTGCATATAAACTAATCCCTTTCCAGGTTTTATTGCCAAAGCTTAATTGACGGAGCTGACATTAGCAGCTGATTGGCTCCCATGCATAGCCACTCCAGATTCTGAGTGCTCCAGTTTTAGTAAGTCTACCCCTGTAGAACATACAGAGATACTTGTCTGCAGGTCAGGAGAACAAGAACAGGGAAGGCATATGCTCCACATAGTTTATGGCTTCTGGCACTTCTATACAGCACATCACTACTCATAGGAGAAACAAACCGCAAACTGCTGGAAGAAGAGACGCAAGTAAATTTAATCAAACTTTCCCCACCTCATAACTCATGCAAGTCCAAGCTGCCAGTTGTGGAATCAGAATGTACTTCTAGAGGGGTCCACTATACCTCAATTGGTCTCAGTTTAGTCCTGCAGACACTGTACTGTGTAGACAGGCTCAATGTAAATGCAGCTGTATAATATAAGTGCAGCACCTAAATATAAACACTAATAAAATTACAATCTGTATAGCCCATAAGTGTGAATTTAGAGAACATGAATCTGATCACTACTCAGAATCTTTGAAGTTCAACAAAAAACGGTAAAGGTGCATAAAGGGTTAACACCCCATATAGTGCAATACAAACAAATCAACCATAAAGTGCTTGCAAAAATAAAGTGTCCAATAATAAATATGTTTATTCAAAAATAAAGGTAGCTTCAAGTCCTTCCAAGTAGAGCATACACAAAGTTCCCAAGTGTGAAAAATGACCTCTCCACGGTCCTCCACCTCTATGCACTCACCAAAGAGCTAGAATATTCATGTTTTATAGCTAATGCTGTGTATCCCAGACCATCTCCTCAGCATTCCGGTCTCCAGCCACTAGTCAGGTTCCCAAGATCAAAAGGAAACTCACACACCGGAGCTCAAATCGAGGTATATAGTGCACTGTGGACCAAAAAATTCCAAATAAAATAATAATTAATAAAAAAAATAGAACTCAAAAGGGTAATATAAAAAATAAAATGCAATATTTACACTGGGCCTATGAAACCAACTCTCAATGAACAGAGAAAGAAAAGACATAGGTAGAGAATTTATTTGCAAAATTTCAAATAGAAGACCTAATATATTTAAATGTTAAACTTGACTAATTGCTCCAATCCAGAGCTCTTCAGCTACAAAGTTTGGGTCTCAGCATGCTTCAACACTTCTTAGGATTTCACCAGCATCTGGCCTACTGCCGAGCAGAAAACACTTGGCGAAGCATTCGTCACCTGAACATTACAGCAGAAGAATTCTGGATTGGGAACATAAAAGTAAGCATTTATTTCACCCAGATCTTACCATCTTGAAGTCCTTCTTTAATGCCACCAATATCCTTCTTAAAATGAAATATCGTCCTTGGTTGGACTTGGTCTTTAAAAGCTGGTGCTGTAACTATAATACGGGCAGTTGGCATGTATGCACAATGTATAGCCAAATTAATTGAAATTGTTCGGTGCATGTCAGTATGTTTAAATTGATGAACAAAGCGCAGTATTAATGGTGAATTAGTTAAAACCAGTCGATATGACAATGTCAGTGCTGCATAAGATAAATGTCATGTTGCAGTGATGTAAAACTGCTGTGTATAAATAGAAAGCAACTCTCAACTGTACTCCAGGATCCTTCTTCCAGTACGACCCTGCACACATCACCTATGACCCAGAATTTCAAGTAGTATAAAATGAATGGGACTGGATTTATGCAAGTGATTGGTTTAAAGGATAAGTTCACCTTTTCAACAAAAATAATAAATGCACATTTTTTTGCAGGTAAAACAATTTGCATTTATTATTTTTGTCTACAGAAGACTGGAAAGCATTGCACCAGTGATCAGTAGATTGCTGGTGCCATGCAGGTCTCCTGCAGACCTGACAGGATATTTGTTTGCTGCACTAGATCTACGGCCAAGCAGATATTCTGACAGGAAGCTTGAATGAACTAGTTCATTGAGGACTACAAGCCGACAGCTGCTAAGACTGTCGGGACTTGTAGTCACTCATTCACAGAATGCTGTGAATGAGTGACGTGGCCAGGTGGGCGGAGCCCTGCACAACCACTTTTTAAAAAATTTGCCAGCAGGTGAGGGGGGAGAAGATCCCCCGCTAGTTGTCAAAGCGGGGATCGGGGGCCAGTCAGATCGTAACAAGTTACGTGGTATACCCTGAATATGGATGTAACAGGTAACATGTTACGAAAGGTGAACTTTTCCTCTAAACATGTGACTGTGTTCATAAATACAGTTACACATTACAAAGACTTTACTAAATGTACTAAAACTGGAGAGGGTAAAATCTGGTGCAGCTTTGCAGATAACCAATCAGCTTCTAACTTCAGCTTGTTCAATTAAGCTTTGACAAAAAAAAACTGGAATCTGATTGGGTTCTGTGCAGAGCTGCACCCAGGGCCATCTTTAATATTGATTGGGCCCTGGGCAAACATTTTCTTGCCCACACACACTCTCTGAGACATACAAAAAACAGCAGGCAGAGATTGCAATTGGTTGCCAGAGGTTACTGTACATTGTTACTTCTCACTGATTGTTTGCTATAGATTACTGCTTATCATTACCACTTACTGATTGGTTGCGAGAGGTTACTGCACATCATCACTGCTAACTGATTGGTTGTTAGATTTTTCTGCACATCATTACGGGTAACTGATTGGTTGCTAGAGACTACAGCAGATCACTAATGTTCACTGACTGGTTGCTAGAGGTTACTGCACATCATTAATGCTCATTGAGCAGTGGAGCAATCCCAAATAACACTGTTCAACAAATTTTTATTTTTTGCCAGTTTTGGAAACAAAAGGATCCATTTCTTAATGAATTTCACATTCTGAGTTCAAATATAACAATGAAATTTGTCAATTGGCTCTAGTTTTTCTGTAAACGGAAAGTTTTCTACTATAGGCGTAATGACTACATAATGCACAATAATTATATAGATAGATGTCTTTCCACAAATATAAAGCAAGTGATATTGACTACATAACAAAGCCTAAATGGCATAATATATTGCATAGGATTACCAAGAAAAATTATAGCCATAAGCTAAGTTGAATCATTTTAATACTTAGGATTCTCACTAGTTTTGTCTTCAGTTTGTGTCGGTTTTGCTTCTCTTGGCTTTTCTCTTGTATTCGAGGAAAGGGCTATCTCTTACAACTGTACGTGACTACACACTTCAGGTTCTTCCTCACTTGACTCAACCACGAAGGATTCTGGTGCTTTAGGAATTGGTAGCCCCTCTCCATGAGGAACTGGACGTATTGCCGATGGAATATTTGGATAGTGCACAGATAACTTTTTCTTCTTATTTAGCCCTTTTACAATTGGAGGCACCATACAAAAGTAACAATTACTAACATGATCTGTTGGCTCTCTCCAAATCATTGGCACAGCGAAAGGCATAGATGCCTTTTTTCCATTCAACCATTGCTCCAGTGCCGTCCCACAAGAATTGCAGCATATATGTGGTGCCCAGCTCTTGTCCTGGTCTCCTATCTTGCAGCCAAAATACAAGTTGTAGGCTTTCTTAATCATTCCTGTTATCCTCCTTTTTTGTGAGATAAAAGTTATTTCACCGCAGATATAGCAGAAATTATCTGCTTTATTCACACAAGTTCGAGGCATTACTGAGTAGCCTATATAAGCATAAAACGAAATGTAAAGACGCTGTCGAACTACAATCAGATACAGATACTGCAGCTTTTATGCAGTGAAGTGATGCAATTAAAGGCTAATATTGCATCATCTCAGTATACATGCAATTTTCTATTGGTCACCAGTATCAATTGCGCAATATGCAGCTGAAGTTGCATCATAATTTTGAATGGCTTACGTCATTAGATGGGTGAATATATCATGGAAACTAGAGCCAATCAACATTTTTTAGGGTCATTTTCGTTTTCAGCACCCCAAAATTATGTAAGATTAGCTAATTTTATGCCCAAAACTTTTTACCTGTTGAACAGTGTAATTGAGTAAGGCGGCACATTAGTACACATTCTACAAGAGATGGTCAGAAACTGTAGACATACTACAGGAGACAGTCAGAGACTGTAGACATACTACCGGAGATGATTTGAGACTGCAGACATACTACAGGAGATAACCAGAGACTGTGGATGTACTACAGGATATGACCAGAGACTGCGGATGTACTATAGAAGATGACCAGAGAATGCAGATTTAATACAGGAAATGATCAGAGACTGCGGATGCAC